CTTTATTCAGTCTTATACTAAAACATGACCGAATTAATTAATTAAATTAAAAATATAATAAATTAAAGAAGTTGTATTCTATAAATTGTTACAATAATTGAAAATATTTTTCGTCAATGATATATTAATTGAATCTTTGGGAGGGGGGTAGGCTTGTGACAAGCGTTACGTTTTTATTAGAGGGGGGTTCAAGTGGGTGTTGCAGGGGGAGAGGGGGTATTCAAAATACTCCAAATTTGCGTTACATAATTTATGGACGGCCCCTCAAGTAAATTTCTGGCAGCCTGCCGGGATCGAACCAGCCGACTTCGAATCACGGCGTGCCCGAGATAAGGTTTTGCCTTTACGCTCGCCGATAGCGCTGTTGTAAATTAAAAGATACTACCATAAATACATTCAGCGCCGGTCAGATGGCTGTGATCGTTAGAGCGGTAGTGTCGTAGCGGTCTCGGACAAACAGACCGTGGCTTCGAGTCCCGCCTCAGGCATTAGTGTATTTGTGTATTTCTATATGAGTGTGTCGTCCTTCATCCCTCACTATCATCATCTCATCGTCCATACTCACAGGGCTAACAACCTTGTGGGATGAAATTCGGGGTTCAGCTAATATGCAGATTCCCCCCCCCCCCCACACACACACACACACAAGTACTTGTGTCTGCTGAAGCAGGATGCACGCCTACTCCAAGTTGGTTCATGCGCGGGGGAAAAATACATTCAGTGTCTTATATTCAACGTTGTCAACATGAAATTCACATCTTCAGTCATTATGCAGCAACTCAACCAGAGGCACATCTACAATTTTTCTCTGTGTAGGCGTGTGATTGTTTGTGTATGTGAGTGTGTATGGGAGGGTACAGACACAGTCCAGCCCATTTGATGTTTTCTTACAGATAATTTTTCATTCTTAACCTCAAATCTATTTCTATTTGTTGCCTTAGTGTTAATAAATATGCAGTAAATTCTGAACGTCTTTCGTTAGAACAGAAAATTAGTAAAGCAATATTTATATTATTGACTTCTGAAGGGGGGGGGCACTGAAGCCTTAGGTACGCTATGATGAACTCTGATCATCTGTTGTGATTCGGATTAGATTAGGTTGATTATTTATCAGATCATCTGTCCCGGTGGGATCCAACGATCCCTGTTAATCGTTTATTACAGTTATGATTTTTTTGAAGTTTCGTTTTTCTTACGTTTAATTTATAATAAAGCCTCCTAAATATTTTTCGATGCCACACTTGACACGTAATTATTGAAACCGAATCTAAACTGCGCGAGTAGCGGAAAGAGCAAGCCGGATTAATCACGCCCTAACCATGGTGCGCCTAAAAATATTCACGTCATGAACGGACCTATGCACGGAAGATGAAGATGAAAATTAAATCTATTTCACCGTAAATCATTTGATTATCAGCTTGCGTATTTTAGCCCTAACTAAAATTACAAGTTCATACGAACCAATGTTGGCGGTTGTCGCTTCTGTCCCATTGTTGTCAGCGCGGGGTATTCAAATCAAAAATGGCCTCGATTAGTTTGCCACATTATTTTTGTAAAATTCTTCAAAACCGCCCGTTTTAACACAAATTACACAATATTCTCTTTGTATGCTCAATACTCGATTTGGCTTCAGTCTCAAGATAAGTTTTATCAAAAATCGTGATAACTACTGTGTTTCGAGAAGAAAAAAAAAAGATGAAATAATGTAAAGATCCACGATGAACTTTGCCACAATATAATTTAGAATTAAGCGAAATGACTAATACTCCGAAAACAAAGTATATAAAATTATTTAAAGATCGAATATTCACAAATAGATAAGTATTGAAATTAAAATCTCTAGCTTTAATATTGAAGACGTAGCACATACTTGAAAAATGTAAACGTAAAAGGAAAAACTTGTGAACGTAATAATTACCCCAAACGACTTATATTTTCAAAACTTTTCACAAAATTTTACTTAAGGGCTTTTTTAATAACATATTTAATTCAGCGAAAACCATAATATCAACATCGTAATTTCGCAATTTTTACAATTCATGGATTTCTCCGTTAAAGGGACCCTAAGTCATTATTATAAACGTTAATAAAAATTATTATAAACACAACATTACATTACTTTTTTTTCCAAGACTTAATGACGCTTATTGTTGCACTTAATTTTTGTTCATAAATGATCTATCTTTTCGCTTTCTGGAGACCCCTTAACTGAACCGTTCTAAACGGGTACGCATTTGATTGATGAGCAACTGTCAACTAATCAGGAGAATAGTACATACATTTAAATTGTCGAATGTCTTTAAATTCATCTGACTTGCTGTTCATGATCAACACTACTTGCAAGTTCACGAACATATAGTATTACATGCGACATCAATTAACCATCAATATACATTGTATACTTAAAGATTTCATAATTCGATGTAGTACCAGTACCAAAGGACAAAATCAAAAACACTTCTAATCTTGGGTCAATTTCAACTTTGCATGCACTTTATGTAGTCCCCGCTCTATTTGCTGCGGATATCTCCTCCATTAAACAACTAATCCCCACGCTACCCGTATAGTTAGAAAGACGCCAGGGAAAGCAACTCCATCGCGATCAGGTTTTTCGTCCGGTTTTTCTTGATCCACTGAACAAATACTGAGATGGCCGCTTGTTTTGTTTCCAGAAGTAAATGTAACTTCGCGGTCTCCACAAATTTTCTTGATCTATGATCAGTTCGTGGGCAATGTTCAAGTAATGGTTCTCCATGTTCTCGTGATGAATCGATTCGTTTACTCGTACGAGGGGGGGGGGGTCGATAAGTGATGACAGACAAATCCCATACATCATTTTCTATTGCAAATAGTTTTTTTATTACACGGGAAAGAATATTTCTCATTATTATACCTAACCCAAAACTGTTTCTGCTACTTGTAATTCAACGTAATTTAGTTTACGAGCTAGAGTACGTATTCCAAGACTAAAACGTGCAACACTTCCTCCTCATAGTGAAAAAGTGTTTAACTTTTTAAAAATATTTTTAAGTTAAATAACTTAAATTAGAAAACTCACATTGTTCCTATAAATGCAGACAAGATCTGACAAAATATCTTCCGCAATATGTTAGATACGATACCACATACTTCCTTTAAATAATTTCATATTTCTGGTCGGAATTTGTTTTTTGAAACATTTCATAATGATTTCTCTTTAACATTTTCATTTAGTGTTCTAACCAGACATAAAAATTGAATTTTGAGTGTGATGGAATGAATCAATTGACGCAAATAACAACTCCCAGAGTTCGTTCTTTCATCTCCTGATAACGTAATCGGCGATAACTATTTTTCGCGCCATTCTTTTCATAATACTAAGAAGTTTCTTTCAAAGCCATCATAAAATGGAGCCAAATGACAAAAATAATAGCTCTCACTGTAAAAAAACAGTTTTAAAAAAATGAAAGCAGTCGTCTCAGAATATAATAATTACTGCAGCCTGACTTAGCGCAGTACTAACAGATAATATCACCCAATGTTGCACGATAGTAGCTAGATTGATCCACGCAGTACGGTACGCCATACACTGAAAGGGGGGTATATAAATACACCCTAGCACGCAGAACCTTATCTTTATTCAATAAAACACTTTTTTCGTGAAATAACTAAGTCGCCAACAGTTCAGTGGCTGTCGGAAGATATTATCTTCTTCGCTTACGATTCACAGACGAAATTTCTCATGTAACCAAAAAAAAAGCACATCATAAAGCACCAATTTTCAAGAAAAATTATTCGTTAGAACATTTCATTCGAAGACAGCTTCAACACACAAGTTCAAATCTAAAAAGAGTTTTTTAAAGAAATCTGCTGTCGAAACAGGAACATTATTGTGGTCTTCATTACCTTCAAGAATTGGTGAAAAACGGGATTTTCGTATTGTTGGAAGCAAGTCAAAGTCTTTCAGTAATCAAAATATCGGGGATATGTTTGAACAAAAGAATCATACAAATAGCAGCTATTTATGATTCCGATATTACGCCTTCACACCACCAAAATAATATCATTCCGACAGCCTCTTTTCTGGATAAGTAAAATATACTGTTTAAACCGAAATCCTAATTAAACTTGTACTCTACACAAAATCTGATAAAAGATGTTTCATGGCCATGTTATCTATCCCGATAAACATCACAAACAATACTTGGAATGCAGTCGACCGATTAACTAGCAAGTGCTTTTGTTTGCCCCGAAAGAACAATGGAAGTACACGTACTCCACTATTTTAATCGCACCTCGAAGGAATTCACAATATTTTCCAACAATAATTATTTATTTTACTCGAATCTTCACATAATTCAATCAAAACTCATAGAAACACTTCACCGGATCAAAATCATTATTTTTCATGAATTATCACACTATTCTATGGTTCCGAGTAATCACTTTTGCGTCACAGACGAATAGTGTACAGACGAGAAAACAATACACTCCGGAATTTAAAGAAGCCCAAAACATGACTCCTGGATATTATAGTAGTGCACTTTTCATTGGGAAACACTTTGGCAACAACACTCGTCAAAAAGTCACTTTTGGACCACACCTGATATGCCATATCGAAAAATGTAATAATGACGTTCATATTCTTTTCTTGTAATAAACCATGTTTAGAGATCCAAAAACCCTTGTATGACGTTTCTTTGTTTTGAAAGAATCGCTTGTTCAGCAACAAAACTCCGAAAACCAACAAACATATAAATGCAACATAACACATCGTCGTTGAAATCTCCGGAAAACTTGCTTTCAGAAGAGTACGAAACAATTTCGTCCACATATCACGAAACAAGCATTCAAAAGGCGAGTTGAGAACTCAAAATATTATTTTTAGTTGAAATCAAGCCACAACGCACCTTCCAAAATTGTTATAATTATTACTTTTTTTAAGTTAACAACACCAATTACAACAAACATAACCACACATTCCACCGTCCACTCGAGCGATGTTGCGCGCCATAACCTACCTTTCTCCGTCAGTTGTTTCACGGGCCCGCCAAAGGCCGACCGGCTCTCGCTGCGAATACACGCTCACAATAAAAAAACCTCGCCGACCACACGACCTTCGCGGACGACGTCCCGTGTCTCCGACGGAACCAACTCGCGAGCGCACCGAACACACAACCCAACAACCAACCACGCCGCAACCGCGCACAGCGCCCAACTGACGTCGGCGCGGGAGATCGGTGCGCGCGCACGGCGCTAGCTCGCGCGGCGGACGGTGACAAGTTGGCGGCGAGGACCTGTGTATCACTCCGCGCGCTGTGGAAGGTCCCTCGTTGGTGTTGGAGGCGCCGCCGGCCGCTGCCAGAGAACCAGAGAACGGAACGGAGCAGAGCGGCTGGCTGGCGGCGGCGACGGAGCGATCGAATTGGGCGTGGGCGGGCGGGCCAGGGCGGGCCAGGGCGACGGCCTGGCGCGCGGGCCGGGCGGTGCGGAGGGGCGGGGCGAGGCGAGGAGGTGCCGGATGAGACAGCGTTTGAGAAGGCGCGGTTGGTGGATTCTGTGGTGACTGCGTGCGCTGGAATATACGGTCCGACGACGTTTGTTCGTCTAATTAGTCTTCTTTCGATTTTATAAATTAAATAATAACTATAATAATAATTATTATAATAACAACAACTTCAATGCCGTTTTTAATGCGTTAAGATATGGGCATCTGCTTATCTAGCTCGTCTAATCATGTGACAAAGGAAGAGTTTCAACAAGCTCTTCAACAATGAAAAACAAAGTATACTTAGATTTCAAATATAAATACATATTCGTCATATAGTCTTATTTTTCTCTTATATTGATTTATTTCAACCTCCCTTTACCTTCCTCGGAACGTTTCTAATGATGGTGTAAATGCTTGCTGTTGCAAGCCACTAATAAATATACCATTTCATTACGTATTTCTTTACTTACTTCAAATGTCAATTTTTAAGGTGTCACATTGCCTGCGATGCCTCTCCTACCCTCTTTCTCTACTTCCTTGTCTTCTTGAGCCACCTTTCTTTCCTCTTAAGTGCATCTTTAGTGCCTTAGACATCTCTTTCGCGTTCTCTTCATCTTCCTCCTTTTCTTGTCCTTTTCATCATCCCTCTGATCATTTTATATCCTTTAACATATTGCTGCTCCTCTCATTTATTTGCTCAACTTCTCTACACTTTCCTCCTGTTTTTTTTTTTCGCGCTCTTCATTCCCCCTTTCCCTTTTTCTTTGCAGAGTTTTCCTCTTCCTGTTACGTTTCTCTTTCCGCCTCCTCCTCTTCGTCTCCCTTCTCTTACATGTTCCTGGGCATGCTTTTAAAACAGAATAGTTAGAAAGCGATTCATGGTTATTTATTAATTTTAATGTGCGTCCTTAAAATAGAGTTCCAGGACCGTTCTGAAAGCCAAGATAAATTAAGTGTCGTAATGTGTCTTCACAACTTTCTACTTAGGGAACCATTCCTTCGCAGTTGTCCGAATCACTCTAATACTATAAATTGATTCAAATTGCGCCATTTTCTCCTTTCGCACTTTCACATTCTCATTTCCCCATGAGTCCAGAGGCGTGTTGAGTCATAGGAGCCCCCGACCAATGAGACATGTGCGAATGCCGCATATGAATGAAACAAAACGAAAAAAAAAATCGTACTAACTCCCCCTGTTTTAGGGATACTACATCAATGCCGATGTTTTTAAACCATGGCTGCCGATGTTTTTAAACCATTTATGTTTCTATAAAAAATATCAACGTTTTAGACTTTGATATATTGAAGCCGATGTTTTGTAACATCAATGCTTTGGAATCGATTTTTTCGATGTTTTGTTCATGGATGAAAAATTCTCATTATCAAAATTGTGTAAATGTTAAAATACGAAATAACCGTTTGAGCCGTATTTACATTGTAATAGTACGTTTTATTCTATGATACTACTATGATGGACTACGTTTTATTATATGATAAACTTCCGGGTTTTACTAATAATAGTATCAAATGCATTGCAGCTCTGAAGATGGCGCGATAACTGATCCGACACTTTGGCAGTAATGATACAAGAATGTTATTTCCTGACCTACACACAAGAACAATCCATTAGAAACCAGTGGAACCACAAGTGCACATTCTCTCGCATTATTTTTAATAGCTACGCAATATCATACTATTACATGAACATGTGAACCACGTGTTTCCAAGCAAACATGTTTTTCCTACGAGTCGAGATTCGAACTCAGGTCTTTCGAGTGAACACGCCGAGCACGATAAAGCTACACTACCACTGATATCGCTACACTCAGCTTTCCTGACGCTAATTTAAATATTCTATCAACATTAATGGGTCCTTGTATTATTTCTAATATGCAGTTTTCGAAAATTTAGATTGTTCAACGAAAATGAGACCCGCACCATTTTTAAGCGTCCTTTACTTTATAAGATGATAAAATTAAAGAAAAGGTTTGAAGCCATTTTTTAGAAAATAATTGATAAATATTTGCTTAAATTTGAGACACAACAAGAGGCGAGAACTACTCATTTTCGAAAAATTGTAAACGAACTTATTTCAATACCTGACTTCAAATTACATTATAAAGGAAAATTATATATCTTCAATACTGTCGTTGTAGAAATGCTTCACTTTTGCGATTTTCGGAAATTTAGAGATTTTTTAGATTTTATCTGCACCTTTCCTTAAGCGTCCTTTACGCTACCCGAAAATAAATTTAATCAACACATTTGGAACCGTTTTTGAGTAAATTTCTAATATGTTGAGGTTTCATGTAAAGTAACCCCCAAAAACTAAAAATTCATTTCGAACACTCAGAACGTCTACTAGTTCGTTTAGATCGATCGGAGAATATAAGTTTTGGATAAAATAATTTAAAGGATTTACACGCTAGCTCTGACGACAAAAGGATGGACGGAGAAACGAACGTTTTGCCGTAAATCGATTTTTCGGTATGAAGGACCCACAAAATATGATTTCTTTCTATACAACATCTTAGAGGAAGTAATTTACTACACATAGGGACAAGATTTTTTTTTCTACATCAGGGCCCGAAAAAAACACACTTTTTTCTGTTAAAAAAAGCATATTCTTCTCCCGCAGCATTATAATTCTTTAGTACGCAAACATTCTGATGAGAAACTAAAATAAAGCAAGCCTCATTTTCATACATGGAGCGTCCTGTCCGATCAAACACGTTTCTATTCACGAGGAAATATATTAAAATCCACGCGAAAACCGTGCTTCTAATGTTTCCTCCGCTTACAGCCTCGGAACTTCGTGGCCATGACTCGACGTCTTGGCCTCCCTGCGTGTAGCAAGTGCACGAAGGCCGGCGGGCCAGGCAAGCGACAGACAGGAGCGTTCGGCGGGTGGCGGTCGGCTGTCCCTTCTCCAGCCCCCACTCCTCGCCCTCCCCGCCAGCATGGACAGCGCTCGGCTTCCCCGACGGCGGCGGCGGCGGCGGCGGCGGCGGCGGCGGTGCTGTGCTGTGCACCGCACAAGAATGCAGCCTCGCCAGCGTTCAAAGCCTCCTGCTGCACCGTGAGCGGAACAAGCTCAGCGGCACGGGCCGGGGCGGTTCCAGGAGGCGTAGACCTGGCCTCGCCAGAATGCTGCTAACACTGGGAGAGGGTGAACAGACTAGAACGAAGAAATGGAGAGTCTTGGGACGTGGTTTATAAGTACATAATCAATGCATTTACGCCGTAAACTCTTTGAAGATATGCCCTATGAAATACGTGATATACCTGTCGTAACGCTGTCTCTGTAATTTTTACGTACAGTATCCATCCTGTTCTTTACTTTCACTCTATCGTTCAGTGACCGTCAGTGAAGGGTGGTGTTACTAGAATTAGTTGCCACAATGGTTTCAGAAGGCGTAGTCCATGCCGTGCCAGATTGCCGTGAGCAGAGAGAAAGTATCTTCTTTCCTCTATGCCGCGACCATAGGAAAATAAACTAGGATCCCATCTACACGGCTCGTTTTTACGAACGATTAGAGAGTTATAACAAGCTACCGGATTCATATGCATTAATAATCTAAGCATTTATGCAATAAATACTTTGAAAATATGCCCTAAAATATGCTCTATAAAATGTGTGAAATCGTATCACTGTTTCTCGTCAGTTTTACGCACAATACATTAATCAGGTATTTTACTCTAATACTATCTCTCAGTGACATTGGTAAAGAGTACTGTTAGTAAAAATTAGTCGCCACTATAGTTCCAGAAGGCGTAGATCACGCCTCGCCAGAATTCTGTGAACACCGGGAAGCGGGTAACCGACTGCGACATTTGATACCTTTTAAATTAATTTAAGGTCATGACTATATATATCCCGCACGCTGTAAGATTTGAATGGATATTTCTATTTATTGCTCTGTGAAAATACAAGTATTTAGATGGTAATTGCCTACTGCTGATAAGCTCGTGCTTGTGGGTGTCTCTAGTAGAGGCTGCAGCAAATCAACAAATAGACATTTCTAAAGTATTTAATTTCTCAGAATCCTATCGAAGTCCTAGTTTGAAACTTAAGACTTCCGTAGAACCTTTCAGAGGTTCTTTGTTGTTGTTGTTGATTTTTCGAACATTTCAATTGGCAGTAGAGGCAATTGAATTCACACTTTTTTAATAAATATTACATTGAATTTACTTGTTATGTGGTAAATATTGTTTATTTTAAAACCGAGACGTCAACGTACGATGCGTACCGTGGTTTACGTTTTATCAATTCATTTTTTAATATATAATTACACGGTAAACCATGTAAACTATTTCTCATGTAAACCATGAGAAACCACGATGTCTTAACGGGACCCATGTTTAAACTCAGACACTTTACGAAGAGGCGTAGTTGAGCAGCTGTCGCGGAGGAGGAATACTTCTCGGAATTACATGTGATGTTCACTTGTTTAGCGAGCTGTCGTTTTGGGTCATTCTTCACATCCAGTCAATAGATTTTCAGAAAAAAAAGACGGTCAATAGATTTCAAACAAAAACGGTCTCCGCTCCTCGCCCTTCACTGGGCAGCCTCCGCTCGCGCATCCGCCGGCGGGCGTGGGCGTGGGCGTGGGCGTGTCGTGTCGCCCTCCGCCCTGCGAGTGCTCTCGAGCAGCTAATAACGCCCGGCCGGGCGCGGTGGTGCGTGGGCGGGGCCCTCGAAACGCGCGGTGGATAGCAGAGCAGAGCAGTGGAGGGGGGAAGCAGGGCAGGTGGCGGCAGTGGGGCCCCAAGGTCACCCGAGCGCCCCCAAGCAGGCCCTTCACGGCCCCGGCCACCACTGGCGCCCGTCGCACATGGCGAGGTAGGAGCACTGCTGCAGCCCCGAGGTGCAGAGAGAGGCTCATTGCTTTGCACTGGCGATTCCGTCCTTTTAAACCCGTTAAACCGTAAACAGCAGGGATTTTCAACTGAGCGTCGCGGCTCCCAGGGGCGTTGCAGCCATATGGTAGAGACATAACGGTGATTTATTTAAAAAAATATCAGATTTACTTATTATTTTATTTAATAGGTAATTATTACAAACAAATTAGCTTACTTGATCCTATGTGGCTAGGCCGAAGGCCTTTAAGACA